TATTGAGCTAATACAGCTCAGAGCGACAAAAATACCATAAAAACTGTATAACTTAGGCTACAAGTCCAGATTTTTACAACTTGGCCTATCTACTCTAATTGAACGTCGTAAGCGAGATGACCTCATCCAAAAATACAAAATTATTAATAACATTGACAAGTCAACTGGGAATTTCCCCTCATCACAATTCCACCAAAAGTAAATCACAGAAAAAGGCATCACTGTGAAAAGTACAGCAACCATTTTACACGCTTCCGTTTTTTTAACAACTGCATTGTTAATGCATGGAACATGCTACCAGATAAAATAACCGATTTTCCAGCTGTCAACAGCTTTAAAGCAAACCTCGTAGCTCATTAAAATTAACCTAAAAAAAATTAGGAGAAAACTGAAAGTTTTTGGAAATGTTCAACATGCAGTCCTAATTAATTTTGGATAAAAATGGCCGAATTCAGACTGGAGCTTTGTCGGAAATCCAAGATTGCGTCCAAAATAATATTTGTAATATCTCAGCCTGTAGATGATTAAGGAATATGGTTCTTGCATCAAGTATTATGTTTTTGAGGTCAGGAAATTCGTTTTTCGACATTTTTTATTTTTAAGCTAAACAGCTAAAACATGGCGGCTGAAAAAAATCTGAAGTTATTGCACTTTACGCATACGTTTTTTAATACACTTACAATGTTGTGAGTGTCAGCTAATATTCATTTGAAATTATAAACTTTTTGTTATATTATTATGTTATATTTGTTACATATCGAAATTAATCGTAGAGGATTTATTGTAGCAATTTTCAACTGTTTAATGAGTGAAGTTTGTTATCTGATGAACTCTACGTTTCTAAACTGAAATCTAAATTAAGTTAATTTCTAAATAATCATAATAATTACAATTGTGAAGAATTTATTCTTGTTTCCCAGTGACACTGAAAAAACTACTTCTATTTCAACTTAATATATTTCTCACCAACTGACTGTGAATCTGAAAAACTAATTATAACGTAAACTATTTTATAATGTCTATTGCATTGCGGCTTAGAACGCGCGATTCATAGCACGCTAATAAGCTGTTATTTCTCAACTGTAATTCCATTGAGGCTTCAAATGCACGCATATAAAGTCATTGTTGCAACATAAACCGCTAATTAT